AACTATTCCGGGCAGGATTAGGTGCACGGGAAACCGTGCTTTTAGACTTGGACAACTAATATATATCTGGGACGCAAAACCAAGGACAAGGCGCCGTCCAAATAATTCAAGCAAGCCCAAACAGAGATTGCAATTACGACATATTAGAACTTTACATACGCCAATCCATCTAGCTAATCCAGTATCTATATGAGAGCGGTACGGACCGCTCCCGTCCTGGAGGAGCTGATCAAGGGATGGAGAGGATATTGACGCCATGGCAACGTCCTGTTCCTAACCTGGCATCGTGCCCATCTCCTTCAGCTCGACGAGGCCCTGCGATGCAGCGAGGGGTGCGAGAATGTCACGCCTCCTTTCCGTAATTTAAGTCGGTGCTTCCAAACCGCTTTTCTTTTGTGCGATTCCACTCCTTTACCTATTCATGAAATCAAATCATCTCTCATTGCCTAGTTCCCAGGGGATCTTCTTGTCCGATTGTTGTCCAGTTGTGACGTAATCGTAGCGTATGAAATAAGCCCTCGTGTAAACTTCAAGTCCATCGTTTCCGGCGACGAGTTATTCCCTTTTTATTTCCCAGCCCCAGTTTTCAGAATCTTGGCTATATTACTACTACGTTTAACGGCGAAATTTCTACCAGAGTACGGGATATAGTAAATATAAACTAGATGGAATAAACATCTAGTCATGAATCTACTTATTCTTACTCTGATATGTAGCTGGAAATAAATATATAAATCCCAGTTTAATAGAATAACCTTGAACCCCTCCCCTTGTGCCAGTCCAATCACACACCGGGGTAGCGATCTCGTAATCTCATACGCTGGGGTCTCGTTTATCAGACCACCAATTCGAGTTCCAGATCGCAGAGAAGCCGAGCAAGTGTCCAGTCTGGTGGCTTTTCATTTCCGGAGCAAGCTTCCATGTCCCCCATTACCCCGCGTCCGCCAGGCCGATTTAGACGGCCGAGGCGTCTCCTCTCATATGATTTTTGGTTTAGCCACGTCCATCTGGTGATCCAACGGCTTCTGTGAGACCTAGCCACAAGCCATGACTCTGATTTACTTTGCAGCATCTAGTGAGAGTCCTTTGCTACATTCAAAAGCGCGAGATGTATTTTTGCAAAACTACCATCGGGCCCTTGGAACGGCAAGGTCATCACGGTTAGGCATCGTGACCGAGAGTCTGTCAAGAACACCAAGAATCGTACAATTTGCATCTTTACAATCAACCGCCCAGTCTTCCGAGGTGTGCCAGTATCATCCAGTGGGCTGACACGGAGCCCATATATGCGGCCCCAATAGCTCATCATGTCATGCTAAACCTAATCGTCTGGTGACGTATGTGGCCTACATCTTGCACGCGTATGACGGCCGCCCTGCTATATTCTGGCGACGATGATGCCCTGCTCTGGTTTGTGTCTTGCTTCATTCTGCCACCATCCAGCTCTCGTAGAACATGCTGCGCGAGTGAAGAGCCGTCGTACCAGCTCTTTTTGATGCGCCAATACCGAAAATCTTGCCTGCATACTCAAGATGAAGCAGGGACACGAAATGCGCCAGAAGACACACAATGAGAACCCCGAGCAACCGCTCATCCTCAGATTCGACCAAGTACGACGGCAAGATGGTCCTCTGGTCGGCGGCAAGAATTCCTCGATCGGCGAGATGATTACCGCCCTGACGAACAGGGGAATCAAGGTGCCGCCCGGATTCGCAACAACGTCCCGCATGTACTGGCAGTACGTGGGCAAAAACGACATCCAGCAACAGGCCGCCACGCTGATAGCCGAATGGCAATACGGCAAGCTGACCCTCGGGGAGGCCGGCCACAAGATTCGCAGCCTCTTCCTCGGCGGCACCTGGCCCAGCAGCGCGGCCGCCGCCATCAAGGCCGCGTATCGCGAGCTCTGCGGCGAGACCAACCGCGAGAACCTGGGCGTCGCGGTGCGCTCCAGCGCCACGGCAGAAGACTTGCCCGAGGCGAGCTTTGCCGGCCAGCAAGAGACGTATCTGAACATCTCGGGGGGCGATGCCCTCCTGGACGCCTGCCGCCGGTGCTACGCCTCGCTCTTCACCGACCGCGCCATCAGCTACCGCCAGACCAGGGGTTTCGACCACATGAGCGTCGCGCTCTCGATCGGCGTGCAGCAAATGGTGCGGTCCGACGTGGGCGGCTCCGGCGTCATGTTTTCCATCGACACGGAAAGCGGCTTCGACAAGGTGGTGCTCATCAACGCGGCGTGGGGGCTGGGCGAGAACGTCGTCCAGGGCACCGTCAACCCGGACGAGTACCAGGTATTCAAGCCGTTCCTGGTCGACCGGAGCCTGGTGCCGATCGTCGACAAGAAGCGCGGCGACAAGGCCGTCAAGATGGTGTACGGCGACACCAAGGACAAGGGGGCTCCGACGCGCAACGTCAGCACCTCCAAGGCCGAGCAGGCCGCCTTCGTCCTCGGCGACCAGGAGATCCTGCAGCTCGCCCGCTGGGCGTACACGATTGAGCAGCACTACCGCACGCCCATGGACATGGAGTGGGCCAAGGACGGCGTGACGGGCGAGCTGTTTGTTGTCCAGGCCCGGCCGGAGACGGTGCACTCTGGCCGCGACGCCGCCGTCTTCAAGGTATACAAGGTGCGCAGCAAGGGGCGCGTCCTCGCCACGGGCCTCTCGGTCGGCGACGCCGCCGTCTCGGGAAGGCTCTGCCTCGTCGAAAGCGCCAGGGACTTGGACAAGTTTGTGGACGACTCCATCCTGGTCACCGGCACGACAGACCCGGACTGGGTGCCCGTGATGAAGCGCGCGGCGGCCATCATCACGGACCACGGCGGACGCACCTCGCACGCCGCCATTGTCAGCCGCGAGCTGGGCCTCCCGGCCGTGGTCGGCACGGGAAACGCCACGTACGTGCTGCACAGCGGCCAGGACGTGACGGTTTCTTGTGCCGAGGGCACGGCGGGCTTCGTGTACGACGGCGCGGCCGACATCGCCACCGAGACCCTGGACGTGTCGGGCCTGCCGGCGACCAGGACCAAGATCATGCTCAACCTGGCCAATCCCGCCGCGGCGTATCGCTGGTGGCGCCTCCCAAGCGACGGCATCGGCCTCGCGCGCATGGAGTTTGTCGTCAGCAACGCCATCCAGGTTCACCCCATGGCGCTCGTCCACTTTGACCGGCTCAAGGACGAAGCAGCACGGAGCAAAATCGCCGCCCTCACCGCGGGATACGCCCAGAAGCCAGACTACTTTGTCGACAAGCTGTCGCAGGGCCTGGCGACGCTCTGCGCGGCCGTGTACCCCCGGCCGGCCATTGTCCGCATGAGCGACTTCAAGACCAACGAGTACGCCGGGCTCGTCGGCGGCGCCGAGTTCGAGCCCGACGAGGAGAACCCCATGCTCGGCTTCCGCGGCGCCTCGCGGTACTACTCGCCTCGCTACAGGGAGGGCTTCGGGCTCGAGTGCCGCGCCATCAGGCGGCTCCGGGAGCACATGGGCTTCACCAACGCCGTTGTCATGATTCCCTTTTGCCGGACGGTCCGCGAGGCTAGGATGGTCCTGGGGGTCATGGCGGAAAACGGCCTCGTCCGCGGCGAAAAGGGGCTGCTCGTCTACGTCATGTGCGAGATTCCGTCCAACGTGATTCTCGCGGCCAAGTTTGCCGACCACTTTGACGGCTTCTCGATTGGCTCCAACGACCTGACGCAGCTGACGCTGGGGGTGGACCGCGACTCGGGCGAGCTGGCGGACTTGTTTGACGAGGAGGACGAGGCCGTCAAGTGGATGCTCGGCCGTGTCATTGCCGTGGCGCGGGAAAAGGGGTGCAAGATTGGCATTTGCGGACAGGCGCCGAGCGATCATCCGGAGCTGGCTAGGTTTCTGGTTGACTCGGGCATCAGTTCCATCTCTGTTAGCCCGGATAGCTTTTTGGCGGTCAAGAGGCAGGTGGTTGATAGCGAGCGGGCTTTGTCTCGTACGCTTTAAGCCCGGCCTGATGTATTACACGAGACGAGGGGCACTTGATAATATATTCAAGTATATATTAATGTGTTCTATAAGTGCGGCTAAAACACGGTGTTGCTAAATTTCTTACATGATCATCTGGGTTTTTTGAAAATGTTTTTAATCACTTAATATATTACTGCAGTATAATTTCGTGCAATATAGCGCCATAACTAGATACTTGGTTTAGTTACCTAGGGTGTGCCTCATAGTGCAGGCGCACATTATAACCTCTTCTTGTGAGTCCAAGCGTTCAAGATTCAAGACATGCTGCTACATATTGCGCATTGATCGACCTATTGCTAGCGTAGGTGGCACGGCGTTGCATAAAGAGTGACGACTGGGATGCTTCCTAGGAAGTAGAAGCAGAATTCCTCTACGAGTTGAAGAAGCGCAGAGTTATGAATCCAGAATAGGGCATCTTTAAATCATCTAGGAAATAAATATTAGCCAGAATATATTTAACCTTGTCCCAAACGACTTGGGACGTACGAATTCTTGGTCAACTCAACTTCTAATAGATTTATATGGGGATAGATATTACCCCTATATACATGCTTTTTGCCCACTCTCGCCGTCGCAAGCTCCATGCAACGCCGACGACATAATCATGGTAATTCCCAGCAATATTCACTCTACAGTGCTTGAGGGCGGCTTCTCGAATAAAAAAGTCCACCAAAAAGCAATACTTGCAAATGAACAACCAGGACCAGTACTAGTGCCAGCGGCAAAACATAGTCTTAACCCGCTATGCTATTATCGACATTGTCACACGGAAATGGCCCAACGTCAAAGATTACAAAAGGGCTACAGTCACGAGACCTAGGGCAAAGTCCCTCACCGACTTCTTGTATTAAAGACGTCTTTGGTCAACGAGGCCTTGAGGGAAACCAAGGACCGTTGATACCAAAGCCTGATATCAGATCAACTGAGTCATTGACTCCAAGCCCTCTATCGAGCCCTTGTTACAAATATAGACCATGACAAGATACACAACCTCCGTGGTCAAAGCTGTTTCTCTACTTCTTCCCTCGCCATGTCACTCACCCATCTTCCGCCACCCTCCATTCCACCACCTACAACAAACTTCCACGCCAGAAAATACCACGCAATCGCATTCCCCACGGTGCTCACCTGGTCACCCAGTCCGGTTTTCGCCGCAGCCGCGACCGACAATGCATTGTAGAGTCCGACATCGGTAAATAGTTCCATCAAATGACTCGCCACGGCCTGCCAATCCCCCGCGTCGACGAGATAGCCGTTCAGCCCATGGTTAATTTGTAGGGGGATACCGCCGACAGCTGTTGCAATGATTGGGCGCCCGGCGTGCAACGCTTCCGACACCTTGATCTCGAATCCCTCCGCGGTGGACAGTTGCAGGACCACGTGGGCATTCCGGAGGAGCATGTTGAGCAGCTGGTCATTGGCTTCGAGACGGACAACGATGATGTCCTTTTTCAAATGGCGGCATTTCGTGTGGATATGCGCCGTGGTTTCGTCGAAAGCCGCCACGCCATCTGGGTCGTCGATCGAAGGGTTGCCGCATCTGTGGAATATGCAGCTCAGCAACTTTGCATTCCTCTAGTGCACACACTGACTAACAGTTTACCTACATTACCAGCTGGGGGGGACTCCTGGAACCTGTCTGATCGAGTCGGCGCCGAAACTCGGCATACGAGTCGATCACCGTGAGTATTCCTTTAGAGGGGTCAAATCGCGAGATTTGGATAATGTATTGGCCTAAGAGAGGTTCAATCTAACGCCACATGCTATATTTATTTGGTTTGCAGACTTACGAGCAGGCCATTCGAGCTCTGGCATGTTATGCAAGTGACACTCTGTGTTGAAGACCTGTTTGTAGTATTGAGTGTCCCAGGCGTTCAAGGTCTTGTTCAAGCCATCCAACCTGTTACCAAATCAGTCAGATATGTCACCTACTGTTTCATCAGCAAAACTCAACACTTGCCAATCCGTGGTGGCGGGGAGGTAGGCCACTCTGTCTCGTGGTACGGCACGAGGAACGAATGCGGGAATGGGATGGCTGAGGAAAACATCTGCTTTCTTGACAAAATCCCAGACAAAGTCCCAAACACCCACTTGCGTAGGCTGATTGCTGTCAATAAGATCACTCCGGATTTGGATATGGGAGCGGAAGAGTATCGGTCGTGTTGGCGAGACGTGCTTGATCAACGGTATCAAGCCAATCATTTGCGGATCGTCAATCTACACTCGCAGCGTCAATATTTGGGCAACAACAACACAAGGCAAAGTCAGAGCATCAAGAAATTGAGAAAACGTACAACGATGATATCAGCACCGCCTTGTTCAGGCCTACACAACGGCCCACCATTGGAAAGCCAGTAACGCTTCGCATTGTCGGTAATCCAGTCAATGATGGCGGCCTTTTCTGCGTCCGAGACATGCTGGTCTTGACGAGCAACGCCCTGCAGGATATTATGGATATTCTTGGTAATGCGAAAAACAGCCCGTCGAGGCTTTGGGACTGGCGGGGGTATTAGTCTGGCGTATTTGCCGGCCAATGTGCGAGACGAGATCAAGGCAATTGGAACAGAATAGAGCCGCTTACCATACCACTTCACGTCCACGGAAAGCAGTCGTGAAAGACGCACCAGCGCATGTCGCATAAGCGCAACACCACCTCCTTGCGGCGTGGCGCTAAAAAAGGCCATCTTTGTCCCGGCAGCTCGCAGCTTGTTTACGTAGAACATGAGCACATCCCACGACTCCCTCGAGCAGGTCGTTTGGTAGTCCTGCAGACTGCAGAGTCGAATGATGCCTCCCGCATCGACTTCCACGCAGCTATGCCAACCGATTTGGAGTGCGGGCGTCAAGGATGGGTTGAAGCACCTTGGTTACACTTTAGCTTGGCCACGTTGAAGCTGTTTTCAAGGAGAGAATCCACGGTGCATACATGATACACCTACGGGCCATTGAATCCGCTTGTTCGTCAACATTCTTGTCGCGCCATGGCGTCTTCGTCCAATTTTCCTCGGAAATGGCAAAGGGAATGATGTCGAGTTGAAGCCATAGCCGTGAGCACAAGGCGGAGCAAAAGTCGCCCATGGCGCTAGGGAGGCCGGCGGCGATAATTTTGGCATCGAAGAAGTGCATGTACGACTCGAGACGTTTGATAATGTACTCTGTAATGGAGGTTGCGCTCGTCAACTTGAGGTCTGTGACGTGGAAGTCGACAAGTTGGACGGCATCACGGAAAGCAAGGGCAAGTGTCGTGCTCTGCTCGTTGTCGAGCGTTGCAGAGATGCCCACGAAGCGTGTCTCAAATCATGTCAGCAAGAGTACGTGGAGGTCTTGTGTGGTGTTGAAATAGACGTTACCGTAAAAGTCATGTCGTGTCCGTGGACTTGGAAGCCTCCGGTATGCACATTGCAGACCCAAGGGTGTTGTGACGCGCTCGCGGTCGCAGCGAAGCAGTCGTGCCCTGTATCTCAACGGCTTCCTTGGCGACTAAATGCCGACATTTGTACATGGCGCAGGGAGGAGTTGGCCGCCATGCTGTCCAACGTCACAACTCGTCAACGGCCGTCATGGGCACGTGAATCAAGATTGAAGCACACAAATTAAGTTTGCGCCACATCAACGGCCAAGACGAATGCACCTCGCCATGCCGTACTAGTATTGGAAATCATGCCACCTGCGCGCCTTCACAAGTCTGGTCCAGCTCACTTATATAGCTCTGCCCCCCCGGGGACTCTTTGCAAACCACCGCCTCGGCGAAAGGCCACCAAGAAGGAAATGTCGCGATGCCTTGCCATGAAAGCAAAATGCCTTCCGTCGACTCTGCTGGCAAACGCATGCTCGTGCCAGACACGTTGTTTCATGCCGTTGTTTCCGTGACAAACAATCATCTAGACGCCATCAACCCGACTCGCAGAACGTACATTCTGGGAACCTACGCCACGCCCGACGCCGCAAAGTCGTCTGCGCTCCGCGCATTACAGGCGCTGACATTTATTCCTGATTTTTTTCCTGCTTCCCAAGTACACTTTAACAGAGGACACCATGTTGGGAATGAGACCACGGGCGACACGGCCGTTATTTCCGTTCCACTGCCCGCCGGGCAAGGCCTGAACATGTCCATACAGGCGGTGCCCAACACAGAGTCCTTGGCGACTACCTCTGACGGGCTGTTCATCTCAGCACCTGGTGCCAAGAACCTGCACTACATGTTGCAAACGGCCGTGAGTTTTACGAATGGCCAACCGGTAGTTGCGGCCACGCAGATCAGGGGGACGTACATGCGCCGCGCGGATGCATGGAGCGCAGCGCATAGGTTGCTTGACAGGGCAAACTATATCAAGTACAGTGATCGGAGTGACGCCGAGTTTTGGGGCCATTGGCCCTACGGGGAGGAGGTTGTCGTTCATGCCGTGTGTGCGGACGGCCAGACTTATTCGGTGTCAGTCAAGACTGCAGTTTGGGCGGACGCGGCGCAAAAGAGGGAGCTCGAGGACTTGCTCAGGCCAGCTGCCCGTGAAACATGATGTCTAGGAGGGAAAATTCGCCGCACGGCTCTGTCTGATGATCAAGGGTGGACCAGGACGGAGCGCAAACCTGGCGACAATGAGCACAGAAACCCGGCGAGGATCAAAGGTTTGGCTTTCATATCTACTGTAACAAGCATCACCTTTCCTCTTTCAATGTCCGGTCAATGCCATGTGTACCGCTGACATGATGGTGGAACCAGGTGTTGCCAGTGTGTTGGCCCAAAATCATGTGCCAAACAACATTGAAGACAGTTGAGTCAATAGTACTGGTAGTCATGTAAGTCGCGGTGTACATGCAATCTCGTCCATGTACTGCGACCCAACGTGTCACGTTTACAGCCAAGCTTGATCCATGGAGTGAGCAAGACGGAGATGGCCGTCGGGGTATCTGTGGAGAAGGTCGTATTTTGATATTCGACGTTGCGAATTACTCGCGATGCAGTCGGCAAATATCAACATTGCAAATTGGCATCAAGACATGACATCGGGGAACGTGGCTTACAACGATAAATTGGCCCATCCACGTCTCCACCGAGGCCCGACGGAGTTGATCCTGGTTGATGCCGAGCGTCGGCGTACTTTTTCTGACGCAATTTGAAGGGAACAAGGCATGCAACCCGGCACCCCTGCCTTACCGGCTCGCCGGGCCTCCATCTCGCCCTCGTGGACGCATCTGAGACATGGGGTTGTCCCCAAGCCGGCGTGGTGTCAACCGCCCGACAAAGTTGGCCGAAACCCTCCAAGCCCCAAGGCCACGATGTCTCAAACCCCAAGCCTCCTTCGTCAAGACGTGTCGGCCCGTCTCTAGTTTGCCGCTGCTTCCACGCACCGGCGTCGTGAACCATGCGTTGGATCCCGGCGGCCCACGTACATACATACACATATGCGCTCATGATTCCGTGGAGCGCTAGCTTGGCCCGTGGCACAATGCGTCGAACCCTGCATCGCAATAGACGGTGCCATCATCTTCTATATATGGGCGTCATGGCTCCGTCGCAAACCTGCTCCTCGCCTGGCCTTGCACTCGGCATCGTCTGGGCCCCGGCACCATCATCATCATCATCATCATGTCTCTCTACCGCATCGGCGTCGACGTCGGCGGCACCAACACGGACGCCGCCATCCTCGACATCCACGCCCTCAACCAGCCCTCCCGCGGCGTCCTCGCCTCGCACAAGGCGCCCACGACGCCCGACATCACGAGCGGCATCGAGGCCGCCATCGCCGCCGTCCTCGAGAGCTCCGCCGTCGACCAGCGCCGCGTCCTCAGCGTCACCATCGGCACGACGCACTTCATCAATGCGCTGATCGAGGCCGACGCCCGCAGACTCGACCGCGTCGCCGTCGTGAGGCTCTGCGGCCCCTTCACGCGGCAAATCCCCCCCTTCTCCGGGTTCCCCGTCGGCCTGCACGGCGTCCTCGACGGCGGCGCCTACTACCTCGACGGGGGGCTCGAAATGGACGGCCGCCACATTGCGCCCCTGCGCGAGGAGCAGGTTCGAGCGGCGGCGCGGGACATTGTCGCGTCCGGCGTCGGGGCCGTGGCCGTCGTCGGCGTCTTCTCCCCCCTGGACCACGACAACGTCTATGAGAAGCGGTGCAGGGCCATCCTCCGCGACGAGGCGCCCGCGCTGCGCGTCGTCTGCTCGCAGGACATTGGGCCGACCGGCTTCGTGGAGCGGGAAAACGCCACCATCCTCAACGCTGCTATCCTGCGGACCGGGCACCGGGTCAAGAACGGCTTCAAGCGCGCCGTGGGCCGCCTCGGCCTGGCCTGTCCGCTGTATCTTTCCCAAAACGACGGCACCCTCATTGATGCCGAGACCGCTGCTGACTTTCCCATCAAGACGTTTGCGAGCGGGCCGACCAACAGCATGAGCGGAGCGGCCTTCCTCGCCGGCCTGGATCGGCATGGCGCCGGCAAGGGCCCGGTGGTGAATGGCGTCGAGTCGAAGCTGCCCGGTGTTGGCGATGCTCCTGCCAACGACGCCGTCGAGCCTCAGGTTCTCGTCGTCGATATTGGAGGCACGACCACGGATGTCTGCGCGCTTCTGCCCTCTGGCTTTCCGCGTCAGGCCCCCGGCTTTGTGGAGGTCGCCGGTGTCCGAACCGCCTTTTCCATCCCCGAAGTCGTCTCGATTGGCCTGGGCGGCGGCAGTAAAGTCACGCTTGACCCGGACTCGCCGCAGTCCGTGTCCGTCGGCCCCGGGTCCGTAGGCCACGAGTTGCTGTCCCAGGCCAAGGTCTTTGGGGGCCCTACGCTGACCGCCACCGACATTGTCGTCGCCGAGGGCAGGGCTTCTCTCGGCGATGCCTCGCTGGTCAAGGACGTGGCTGCTGAGCTGCGCGAGGGCGGCCGCAGGGGCATCAATGCGCTCCTCGAGACCGTCATCGACAAGATGAAGGTGTCGACGGCGCCGGTGCACGTCCTCCTCGTCGGCGGCGGCTCCATCCTGGTGACGGAGAAAATCGCCGGCGTCGACAAGTGCATCGAGCCCATCCACCAGGGCGCGGCCAACGCTGTCGGCGCGGCCATTGGCAAAATCTCGGGCGAGGTCGACACCGTGGAGATCCTGGAGGGCAAGGATGAAAAGGCAGTGATTGCCGCGGCGTGCCAAAGGGCCATTGACCAGGCCATTGCCAAGGGGGCCCGGCCGGACGACGTCAAGATTGTCGAGGTGAACAAGATGCCGCTCCAGTACATGTCGCAGGTGACGATCCGGATCCAGGTCCGGGCCGTGGGGACCCTAGCTATTCCTGACGACGTGGCTTTGTTCGAGGCGCCTGGGAGCGGCGACGAGGCAGATGGCCACGATGACGAGCAAGACGAGGGCGAAAAGGTCGGCGTTCCGAATGCCCTCCACCCGACGACCAAGCCTTCGCTGGGGGTCGACTTGGCCACCTACCGCCCGGACGTGCGAGGCGGCACATGGTACCCGTCGGATATCGACCTCGAGCTCATTTCCACGGGGTGTGCCATCTTGGGCACCGGCGGCGGCGGCCCAACGTACTACGAGTACTTGAAGAGTCTGCAGTGTCTGAGCAGCAATGACAAGGGCCGGATGCGCATCGTCTCTCCCAAGTCGTTGAGGGACGATGCTGTTGTATGCCTCGGCACGTGGTATGGCAGCCCGAGCGTGATTAACGAGCGCATTGCTGCAGGCAACGAAATCGTCGATGCCATCAAGGCTGTCAACAGGATCCAGCACATAGAGACGTTTGATGCCGTTCTTGCCGACGAGATGTGCGTTCTCGGCGCCCCCAATTCCTACCATTGCTAGTGAGTCTGTGAAAAACTAACCATGAAGCCAGCGGCGGTGGAAACGGCCTCTCGGCCCTTCCTGTCGGCACTTACTTTGACGTTCCGGTCCTGGATTGCGATGGCATGGGGAGAGCCTATCCAACCATGTATCATAGTAAGACTGGCGCCCCTCGAAAAATCATGACCACCTTCAAAGTTTACACGGCACGCTAACCCGGCCGCCCAAGTCACATTCAGCGTGTACGGGCACGAAATGACGCCTGCCGTCATCACAGACGCCCGCGGGAACGCTGTTGTCGCCATGGTGAGCACCTCCTGATACACCAGACCAGACACATCAGTGACAAGGCTGTCGCTAACTCATCCGCAAGGGAGTCGACAGCGCAAAGCGCCTCGAGACGATTTGCCGCAACGCAGCCGTAGAGCTCGGCCTCAGCTGCGCCTGCGGCACAAACCCCATCTCGGGCGCCATGGCAAAGAGCGTCGCGGTGCCCAACACGCTCTCCCAAAGCTGGTACCTGGGACGGGCTGTCCACCAAGCCAGGCGAGCCAAGACGAGCTACACGGACGCCATCGTACGTCGATTCATGACAATTTGAAGTCTACCATGTGGAGCACCAGCTAACACGGCCCCGTCTAGTTTGACGTCTGCGCCGGCAGAGTCCTCTTTACCGGGAAAATCGTCGACGTCCAGCGCCACCTCGACGGCGGCTACACCATGGGCGCCGTTGTCCTGGCCCCCTTTGCCGCCGACGAGCGAGACGCCGAGTCCAAACCCCCCCAGCCCGACGGCCACATGATCATCCCCTTCCAGAACGAGTACCTGTACGCGGCGCTCTGCGACGAGGCGGGCTCCCCGGAATCGCAGCAGGTCGTCGCCACCGTGCCCGAGCTGATTTCCATTCTCGGCCACGACGGCGAGGCCATTGGCTCCCAGGACCTGCGGTTCGGCCTGCGCGTCAGCGTCATTGCCCTGCCTGCCCATCCGCTGTGGAAGACGGACGCGGCCATGGCCATTGGCGGCCCGGCAGGGTTCGGCTTGAAGATGGACCCGGTGGACGGCGGTGTGCCGTTCACCGAGCCGCGGAGCGTGATTGACGAGTTTAACGTGTGACGAACGTTGGGAGCCTATTCCTTATTGTGACGGTCTGGTATCAGCCGTTTCACATCACCGTCGCGCCAGATGCCATGAGCGCTTGAATCTTGAGCAAGCGAATAGTCATGTAATAGACTTGTAAACAGCGGCGTGTATGCATGACGAGAATTATAAGCTACAGCCACACGTAATTCAAAAACCATATAGACATGTTATACTAGGAAATTGTACCAAACACTAGATTGAGATTATATCTGGTAAACCCCAAAGGACATGTACTTCTCGTCGTCGCCAAAAAACGGAAACCGCACATGCAGCCGGTCCGTCATCTCCGCCTCCACGCGCCACCTGGTGCCCGTCCTGCTTCCCACCTCATCCCACAGTCTCTGGAAACTCTCCCCGTCATGGAGATAGCACCTGGACGCACGTGTGGTCGGGACCTCCAACTCCCTGGGCCTCAGCGTGCCAATGTGCCTCCCGAAAACGACGGCGTCGCCCGTCCCCGGCTGCAGGAAGCGCACCATGCGCTCGCCAATCCTGACTTGGTCGTCCCACGTGAAAAGATGAAAAAAGTACGCGGCGTGAATCAGCGTCACCTTGCCATCTAGTTCCTTCAGGCTGCTGTCGTCGGCATTCAACACGTCCCCCGCTACAAAGGTAGGCCCTCGCTGCTCGTCCCCAAACAGCTCGTTTCCGATGCGTATAAACTCGGGGCGCAGGTCTGTCCCGTACAGGCGCGAGGGATGCACGCCCTTGTGGGCGAGGTGGCGGAGGGCCTGGCCGATGCAGCAGCCGATGTCGAGGATGGCGGCGCTTGTGCCGCCGGGCTTGTCGGGATTGGCGAGCAGTCGCTGCGTGGCGGCTTCGAAGCGCGAGTCTGTGGTGCTGTGCAGCTTGGTGAAGGTCCAGAGGCCAATGCAGGGATAGTTGAACACGTCCCAGAGCTGGTCTCGCTGTCAATTGATGGGGGTCGTGTCAGCGGTGGTTATGGCATTGCGCATCAATTGCTGGGGTGTGACGTACGGTGCGGAGAAGTAATTCGTCAACCTTGTCTGGAGGGACTTTGCTGTACTGCTGGAGTAGTTCTTTGAATGGCGCAATGTCGTCTGGCAAGTCTTTGACATAGGCGTATTCCTGCCAGGATGCTTTGGCCTTTTCCGGGCCGGTCTCCATCGCTGGCTCGAGTGTAGCTTTGTCCATTGAGAAATAGGTTTGCGAGATGGGAAAGTTGTTCTTGGGGAAATGGACGAAGCAGACTATAGGTATTCAGCAAGTCTTACATTGTAGAGATGGACATGATATTGATTCGTCGGTCATGTTGTGGCGTGTAAGCGGGGAAGCGGCACGGGATGGCCGGTTTGACACATGAGCTCCGAATCCGATCACCAGACAACATCCGTTGGCGTTTTGCAGCTCAACAAAAGTCAACTCATCCATCCGTCTGGGTCCAAAAGCTTGTCTACGAGCCCCGCGGCAAGATCCCGCCCCAATTCGTCAGAGGTCACACGAGTCGGGAATCGACTTTGGTATATATGATGGGCGTTAGCTCTGGGCAAAAACGGAACGGCAGAGCTTCGTACCTCTGAGACAACACACGACAACGTCCAATTGGCCCAACGTCGGCTCTCTTCCAACTCGGCTGTCCAAAGTCTGGAGGGCCGTAGACTTGTCCTTGTCTCCCAAGGTGTGTAGTGCCTCCATCTCAAATGGCCGCTGGGCGAGAGCCTTTGCAGACTGTCCCGGATGCCTTTTGTCTGGACCACGGCCAGTGTTGATCGACGAGTGCCGAGTCGCAGCGGTTGCCGTGTATGAACCGAAGCTCGAGACATGATTGGAGCTCCAAGTCAACGATCAAGAACAGAGAGGTAGTGAAATGTTCTTCAGATGAGATGAGCAAGGACCTTGGAAGGCGGTGAATCGTCAGCAACGACTTGATGACACCGTGATGCATAGCGTTATGCATTATGCGGCGTAAGCGGCCGTCTGAGACGCATGTGAGATGTATACCCCTAGACCAGAAAGCAAATATTTCCAGAGGAGAAGAGAAGATGGCGAGGAATCGGGTGTCGGTTTCGTGCACTGCAAGGGCTACAAATGGTGATGCTTGCGACCAGAAAAATCGTTGCAAGCACCACCATGAGCGGCTTAAACACCCGATTCGTTGTGCTACTATCGTAACATTGAACCAATTAGGAGCGCAGCTTGGTTAAAGGGCAAATAAAAGCCAAAGCCTCCGCGTCGGTAACGGCCAGCCCGAGGCCCGAGGCTTTTAAACCAACATTGAACGCAGACATCTCTAGTCCTTGACGGCTTTGTAGCAAAAACAGAACCAATGTCGAATCATCTTTATTTTCTAGTATACCGCATCAAGCTGACCAAATTCCAATCCGAAAGCAAGCCCCAGCGCCGAGGAGACATGCCTAGTCAGGATGAAGTTGCGACCGCATCCGGATGAACAAAAAAAGCTATACCGATAATGACATACCTACAAACAGTTAGAAGAGCATACAAAACGTCAACGGGTATAAACGGCACCACTTACGTGCTCACCAGCAACAAGCCCTCAAAGTAATTCGTCGACCCATCGTGCACTATACAGTTCACAACCAGCGTCGACATGGTCAACACAATCGTCTCAAACGTGTCAAACTGCAGCGACATGGGCTTGCCCATGATCCAGCCAACCACGATGAGAAAGGGCGTAACAAAGAGCGAAATCTGCAGCGTCGCCCCGACAATCACGGACACGGCGAGGTTGACGCGATCCGACCTCGACCACTGCACCGTCCCGACCAGACACCCTGCGTTGCCGACAATCGGCACAATGATGAGGCCAATGAAGCTTCTGCTGACCCCTAGCGCTTCGACGAAGCCATCGACGCTATCGACGAGCGCGTCAGAGCAAAAGGAGACGCCGAGAGTGGCGAGCACGAGGATGATGCTGCTCGACAGCCCGTGCAGCTTATCCTCAGGCTGGTCCTCCTCCTCGCTAAACAGGTCCGCGTGCGTGACCGACTGAAAGTACAGGTATATCAGGTAAAACAAGAGCAGTATGACGGCGGTGATGCGTGACAGGAGCAAAACGTGCTCGCTGGGATGGTCGTTGGAGCCGCCCCCGTTGGGGTCCGCCATGTGCAGCGCCGAGGGCATGATGAGCGATACACAGGATATAATCATGAGGGATGTCAAAACGCCAGCGACGTCGATGTTGATGTCGACTGACTTCTTCCCCAGGCCAGCGAGTAGAAAACACGTTCCGAGAATCTATAACCTTGATGAGCAGAGTGACAAGACGGAAGGGAAAGTTTCACTGACCAGCAGAATAGAAGACAGGATACTTCCAATCATGCTCGACTGGACGATGGATATTTCATCCTCTCTCAAGGCGCTTATTCCCACCTATGTGAGGGTGAGCACATGGTTTTGCGTGGACGCGGGCTGAGGGACCGTACAATCATTTCTACTGCATTGCCAAACGTGGCGTTGATCAGGCCGCCGGCCACGGAACCTACAATGGCAGCCAGCTGCTCGGTTCCAAAGGTGAGGATCGAAGCCAGCGGCAGCATGGCCAGGAAGTTGAGGACGAAGACGGCGGCCGGCGGCCATCCCCATCCGCCGGCCATGAGGCCCAGAGGCACGCAGGGAAGCAGCACGTTGGAATAGCTGCACGTCAGGGCTGCCATCAAGGCGTGCGTGCCCTCTTTACGTGCGCTCTGTAGTAGGTCTTTTCGGCGCGAAGCCTGGCCATTTTGCGTGGTGGCAAGCAGCGGCCGCCTCTCGTCGTCCCTCGGGCTTTGCGTCTCTGGACTCATGGTGATGCTTGGCGGGTGTTTTGAGGGTCCAGAGAGACTAGACGGCTCACTCTCTGGCACGACTACTTGGTGCTTGCTTGGACAAAGCAAAGTGCACTGCCAGTCTACCACCAGACGAGCAGAGCAAATGCATCAATTGATCCTTTCGGGTCCAACCTCGGTGGAGCCGTCATCGATTGATGCGCCCAAGCTCAAGCTTGCAGCTTGCAGTGGCTATGCAAAAGCCGCCAGGGTTACTGGATCAAACGGCACCTTTTTGGCTGCAGCCACCCGGAATCTGAGAGTTGCTCAGCCGGGGCCAAGAATACTGTCTCACAAACGCGGCCAGGTTCCGTGACGGCGTGCAGATGATGGACGGACTGCTTTGGATCATCGAGCACGTCGCCCCGCCAGACCACATGCATGTCACAAAGGGTCAATCAGCGTGCCATTTTGCACTTGACCAGACCAGACGTCAGATTGGCCGTCGAGCCGGCCCATGGCCCCTTGAGGCTCCATCTCGAACTCTCCATAAACGCCAAGCAATGGCTCGTCGTCCTTGGAGATAGTCTGGATAGAGTCAACACTCCCAACGATGCCCGGCGCCGATAGCCACCCACAGCTCGCAGCAAGCATTCGAGCTCGACGACGTGCCATGGCCGAAGGCAGGGCAGCCGCAGACGACGCCGAGGCGCCTGAAAGAGACGAGTCGATACCGCCCGTCGCCAGGACCCAGTCCATGTTTCTGCGGATGCGGACAGAAACGCATTACCAAGAGATCGCGACTCTGCTGCAGGAGCTCTACTCCAGCCCGACCAAGGCGCTCCTGGTGTTTGCTCCCGCGGGCATAGCGGCGGGCTTTCTGCGTCTTCACGTCGTCGTCGTCTTCGCCCTCAATTTTATCGCCCTCGTGCCTCTTTCCGCCCTGGTTCTCTACACCATTCTCGCATTTACCGCCGACTACGCCCTGCTCGGCGGACTGCTGCGCGCCGTCTTTGGAAATGCTACTGAACTTACGGTACGGACGCGAGGACCCGGCAGCGTGCTTTTTTCGTCGATTAACTCTACTGCGTTTTCTAGCTCGGCATGTGCGCTTTGCTGCAGGGCAAAGCGCAGCTCGCGCAATGGATCATGATTGGAAGTATTTTGACATATTGCCTCTTTGTGCGAACTCCCAGAGCCCCCATTCCGTCTTCGTGCCAACTTGCGGGCTGCTGCTGACCAAAGGAGCACTGCGCAGGTGCTGGGCTTCAGTTTTCTCGTGGCTAGCTACGGGAAGAAAAAGGAGCCCTTTAGCAGAACCCGGACCTCCATCATGTCGTCCCTCGTCATGAGCGGTTCGATCTGCCTCGCGATCCCGACTGTGATTGCCATGGCTGTCGAGGAGAAGCACCACGCCGACAAGGTCAACAGGGACCCTCTGTTTCTGTCGCGCGCCACGTCCCTCGTCCAAATGTTCCTGTTCCTGGCATACCTTGTGTTTCGCTTCCGAACGCATAATCGCATCTTTCCCCGGAACCCCAACGCCCCTCGTCTCAGCAGGACCAGTACTGGCGTCTCATCTGGATCCGGGTCGAGCCGTGGATCTGGCCCATCTCATGTGAACATGACCCTCGTGGGTCTGGGGGCTCTTGCATTCACCGCCCTGTGTAGCTATTACCTGGTACGGAGCTTGGCTGGAGCTACCAAGGCTCTGGGCGTGTCCGAGTCCTTTGCGGCGCTGGTCGTGGTGCCCCAGGCCGGCAGCTTGATGAAGGCGGTTACCATCATCAGGCACACTCGATCCAGTGCCGATGCGTTGCCGAGTGGCATGGGCCGTCTTGACTTTGCCATCCGTTCCATCATGACCAACGTTTTCGACACGGAGCTCTTCATCCTGCCTATGCTGGTCCTCCTTGGCTGGGCGGTGGGCGAGCCTATGAAACTGAGTTTTGGACTTTTCGAAGCCGTCATATTCTTGATGGCCATCTTGACCATGACGTACCTGGTACAGCATGGGAAAACAACGTATTTTGAAGGAATCATGCTCATGGGGACGTATGTACTTTGCAACAAGTCGACGCCTGCTGCCCGGGTTTGCTAACATTGAATGTCCACTAGGTACCTATCTATTGCCATTGCGTTATATGTCCGACCCGATGTTACCAAAACCAGCCTATCTGCCTTGGGAATTCGTCGTTTTTGAGTGTCGACAAGATTCATGGCATGTATCGGGATTAGAAGCAGTCATGTAAAGTAAGCCGCCATGATGACAACGTAGCTGTAGATGGAGATTAGCAGTGTCTAGTTAAGCAGAAAATCGGTACCTCTTACACTGCTATGAGCAATGTCCCGTGTAAAAAAGTATAATGCTTGTCTTGGAGCACTTGGTTGACCATGATGACTGCCAAAAGGAGAATGTAGGTTTGCGACGGCTCAAAGTAGAGATCCACGGGTAGGCGTAGTATCCATCCGATGACTACCAACAACGGCAAGACAAACAGCGATATCTGCAGGATGCTGCCGATAATGACGCCAATGGCAAAGTCAATCTTTTGATTCCTCGACGCGGCCACCACCTGTGCCAATTCCGAAGCGTTGCTCGCAAGCGGCATGATGATGATGGCGATGAAGGTTTTGGAAATATTCAAGGCGCGCGAGGTGCCATTCAAGGAATCCATAAAGTTTGTCGTGCATTTGGCGATGAGAAGCCCGGACACGAGCAGCGTCAGCGCCGCGACAGCAATATCCGACATGGAGGGCCTATCCGTCTGCGAAACCTCCTCGGCAGCAGCCTGGCACGGAGGCAACGAAGACGGCAGGACATCATGGTGCTGTTCATCATCTTCCCCATCCTCGTCTTCGTCTACAAAAATGGACGAGTGCGTCTTGAGTTGAAAGTACAGGTAGGCGACGTAGACGCAGAGAAGCACGAGGGCCGTGGCGCGGCTAAAGTTGAGCACCATGCGGCCGAGGTCTCTCTCGCCGCCCGACTTGGAGGCAAACGTCGAGTACAGCGCTGCCGGGAGAACAAGCGCCACCGTGGTGATGATCATGAGGGTGGACAGGGTGTCGGCCACGGCTGAGTTGACGTTCAACACGCCGGTGCCGCGGGCCGCCGTGATGAAGCAGCAGCCTTGGACCTGTTGTGGTCGTTAGAACAAGATCAGGCCGCCCGTGGGCGTTGACGAACCAGGAGAATGTCCGAGAGGATGCTGCCAATCATCATGGACTGCGCGAGCCGCGGCTCATGTCGAAGGATGGCGAGGATGCCCACCTGTCGTGTGTTTATTAGTCGCGAGGCTCTCATGCGCCATGTGTGTTGCGTATATACTACTCACAATCAGCTCGACCGTGTTTCCAAAGGTCGCGTTGATCAGGCCGCCTATCAAGCTGCCCCATCTGTCGCCCATGGTGTCGGAGGCGTCGGACAGACGGGCCGACAGAGGCATGATGGCGAGCACATTGCTCAGCGTGACGAGCGTGTCTGGCCATCGTGCCCAGTGTGCCGCGAAGCCCAACGGCACAAACACCAGCAACGAGTCGGCGTGGGAGAGCCGCGCCAGCGTGGTCGTGGCCGCCCGCCGGATTGTCGATACGGGCTGCTGCGGCCGGTTGCTGGTCTCCATTTTGCGTTATGGCTTGGCGAGCTGTGCCCATGGATTCTAAAATGTATACCAGACACCAGACACAAGAAAAGTCAGTTCCCGTCGGGCAAAAGCTTGGGAGACGGTTGGCGTGGAGTGGCCGTGCCACGGTCCTTGGGGGCTTATGTCCCGCTCACCTCTTGGACGGGAATCAGCCGGGCCAAGGCTGGCAGTTCAATGTTCAGTCGCCGGCGCAGATGACGGGTGCACATGGGCCATCAATGCTTTTCAGACGACATACGGAGTAGTATGGACGGACCATCCTTGTCTCATCGGCAGCACTTGAGGTCTAAGCCACCATCGGCCCAGGCAGCACGACGCCTGTTACAGGTGCACCGTCGACATCAATGATGTGTGAAGCTGAGCTGTTCTGGCAAGGTACTCTGTACATTCTCCTCCGTGAAGGAAAATGAGGCGTTCCAGGGGTTTTCCGCGAGTTACATTGCTTGATGCGCGAAAATGCTAAATTATGGATAGCTCGAGCGGGCGTTGGTTTCGCTCAACCAACTCGGTTCCAGGCCGCAGCCATGTTGCCATGGTGAGTCCATGAGGTCAATACAGATCATGGCATGCGGCTGGGGTTTTGACTTGAGCCACCCCGCGTATTAAGCTCTCAACTACTTAAGTACGCTATGCCGTACTCCATCCTGTGACTTGACCCATTCGACGCTGCCTTGCCCAAGGTCTAGCAGCCCGTCCGTCCCCACACTTGCCGAAGTATGGGTCGTAACCCGTTCAGAAGCTGTCCGGTCGGTCGTTGTCGTCCTCATCATACAAGACGTCAAGTGGCTTGTGGGGCCAGATTGGGCCGGAAGTTGTCAGCCACAAACAAAACTCCACAGCTGTGAGATCAGCTACAGGCCTTGTGCCGGGCTGCCGGTGTCTGGTTGTAAATGACGGGGGGTGTCTGGTGAAACCATACAATTCATCACTCGCAGCTCTGTTCCTGCTGCCGAAGCCGTTGTGGGACGATTGATGCGACCTTGCCAGACTGCGTCGTTGATCCTTCAACTAATGCCCCATGCCAAAAAAAAAAAGGTCAAGTGGGAATCATGACAATGCTGATTTTCTCAGTGGCCTCACGGCAGCCATGTTCATCGCTCGGCAGGCCAGGACAAGCCACGGCGCCTCGTCATTTGACTTGGCCATGGGAAGCCAATGTTCACATGAGGGCGCAACGGAGTGGTCGACGTCGTCTCCACGAGCCGCCGACCCCTCGTCTCTACTCCATGCCACTTAGCTTCCGCGCTTCCGTCTGGTCCTTCCATGTCCTTTTATACCTGCACACTGTAACCGACTGCTCCCTTGGTAGTTTTTGCACTTGTCACGCCACCCCAGTACCTTGGACACGATGCGCGAGCACCGCCCCTGTCTTCGCCTCTTCGCAATCACCTGCGCATCGATCCAATAAAGAGCCGGGCCTCCTCGGATGAGTCGCCGTCGCGGGCTCTGTTTTCCGTCTCCAACCCCTTGGGTAGCTGACAGATGCGTAGCCGGCTCGACGTACCAGGAGGAGTGCAATGTTGCCCTTGGCTGGCAGCTATGGCGAGGAATCACCAGAGACCGAATTTCCGTCACGGAATAGAGCTCCTACAATAGCAATACACCCTGCTGTAAGTTTGTGCGCCGGCCATGGTCCATACGGCGTCTAACGCTCCATCAGGACGAGGTCGTTGCTCAGAACAGCCATCTGCAAACTCCGTCTGCCTCGTCTTCCGGCAGGACACCTGATCGTCAAACAGCTCTCCAGATACCCGTGATAGATTGCGCAGATGTAGACCCGGACAACACGTCGGCCACGACAATCTCACCCGTCTTCTCCGCCATGAGGACCTACTCTGCCTCGTCTTGCAGCACCTTCCCCGTCCACGGCAGGTCAAGTAGTCGGCGCCTGTCCCATTCTAGCACGTGCGGTGCGCCGTTTCTTTTGTCGCCAAAGGCCTTGGCCGAGACCATTGCTTCCAAGAGCATAGCGGAGCTCGAGGCCCTCGGCGGACTCAATGGCCTGGCTCAAGGTTTGCAAACTGATTTATATGCCGGCCTGTGTGAGGACGTATCATCGTCTGATGCTGGCCGCCCGTCACTGGAGCAAGGGATACACGGGCCACATCAAAGTAGAGTCGAGATATACGGTGTCAACAAGATACCGCCAAAGAAGACAAAGGGCATCCTCGAGCTGATGATGCTTGCGCTGAGCGACAAGGTCCTGGTTCTGCTGTGTATTGTCGCCGGCATCTCATTGTTCATCGGGGTATATCAGGCTCTGTTCCAACCACATCTGCCCGGGCAGCCGAGGATTGAGTGGGTGGACAGCTTGACCATCATGGCGGCCGTTCTCATTGTTGTAGTAACAGGGGCAGTCAACGACTACCAAAAAGAGAAGCAGTTTGCCCGTCTCGTCAAAAAGGTACGTACATCATCGCTACCCGTTTGTGCCTCGGGATGTGTGTCTTGTCCCTGGCCGACGGCGCATCGAATGGCTAGGAACAATTTCTGACCATACCGTAGACCGAAGACCGGGTTGTGGAAGCGATACGTTCTGGGAAGAGTACGGAAATATCTGTTTTCGACATACTCGTCGGCGATATTCTCCACGTCTCGGCCGGCAGTGTGATCCCGGCCGATGGCGTGCTAGTGACGGGGTTCTCGGTGCGGTGCGATGAGTCGTCCATCACTGGTGAATCGGATCACATTACCAAAACGCCTTTGAATACTGCACTGTCAAGACTGGACATTGGCGAGGTCGCCAAGGATATAGACCCATTCATGATCTCCGGGAGCAAAGTCTTGAAAGGAATGGGCACCTACTTGGTCACCGGAGTTGGAGTCAATAGCATGTATGGCCGACTCAAGATGGACGTTACCGAGAGGACGGAAGCCACGCCGTTGCAGAAGAAACTGAGTGACATAGCGGACAGGATAGCCGTGGCCGGCGTGACCGTCTCTGTTTTGTTGTTTGGAGTCCTTGGCATCGAAATCCTCGTTCAGCTACCGGGCTCTGACCGGTCCTTTGTTGAGCTTGTGCAGATGTTCCTCAGGGTGTTCATGATATCAATAAGCATCATTGTTGTTGCCGTTCCCGAAGGCCTACCGCTAGCTGTAACTCTCGCTCTCGCAATCGGCGTCACAAGAATGCTCAAGGACAACAATCTGGTCAGGGTTCTCTCGGCGTGTGAAACAATGGGCAACGCAACCGTGGTGTGCTCTGACAAAACCGGAACGCTTACCATGAATAAAATGGCTGTCGCAGCTGGCTGTGTTGGATTGGACGGCTCGTTTGATGACCTGGGACACCAGGTAATGGAGGAGAATCCGAGTTCTCCAGATGAGCGTAATCAACCGTGCTACTCCGGCCTAGGGAGTTCGTCGTCGCTCGTTAGATTCCGGTCGTCGGTCGATCCGCTCGTTCGGGACGTCTTGATGCAGTCAATCTCTACGAACTCGACAGCATCAGAGG